CAATATCATTAAACTCAGCTAAGATTTCAGTATACTTATTGCAATCAAGACCTTCCAGTTGCAACACCAGTTTGTTAAGACTAAGATCCGTGGTGGTTTTGTTTTCGGCTTTCATTGTTTCGATGTAGTTGAATAGTGGGAGTTCAGTGAGTTTATCTTCTTTCTTATACTCCTTGTATAACTTCACCTCATCTAATTTAACAAAGTCATTGATCACAAGTTTAGAGATCTTCTGGCATATAGGAAGGGAGAGAATTCGGGCAATATTAAGATTATTGTAGATTTGGTTCAGGATATGCAGTTCCATAGAATCGGCAAATGTGTAGTTGTTTAGTATCCAGTAAACAAGGTTATCATCAACTTTGTCTAGTATCAAAGCCTTGAGATTAAGGTGGCGTCGGAGGATTTCAGGGAGTGCGTTACCTCCTTCTATCTTAGATAGGTCAAAGGTGTGGAATGCATCAAGGCCGAAATTCGAAAATCTAAGCGTGTGGGCGGCAATATTGACGAATAGGCTTAAAAGGGATCGACAGATCTCGCTATCCTTATAATCTTCACATCCGTTAATGTTGATGTCTGTATAGTGTATATTCTGACAAAAAAGAGCATCTGGGCCGGCGACAAGACCATAATCGGCATAAACATACAGATTAGTCTTATATAAAGCCCTAAGGTTGATATCAACTGGTTCTTGAAGTTCCAATTTGTTATTGCTGCGATCTTCAGCAGGACATTTGATCCCACAACTCTGGACATGTTCTATCGACTTCTTACAATTCACACGTAGATTCTTTTCAAGGACCTCTAACGTATGTAACAAGCCATCTTGTCTGTTCTTATACTCAATTGTGCATTCGCCAACAGATATACCATATTTGGCGTATACTTCGGGGGTGTAATATTTGTCATACGTGTCCTTGAGACACCAACATTTCTGGGTAGATATTCTGATAGATATTTTAGTAGCAAAGGCGCGGGGAGTAGAATGTAGTTGCTGTTGAAGAGGATCTGGTTGGAATAGGTCTTTAGTAGACTTAGGAACAATAGCTATAATAGTATGAACATTGATGGTCGGATTATTGCGTCTAATAAGACAGAGAAGAGTCTCCCAACGCAGTTCTAGAACTATTTCGGAATGAATGTCTTGAGTAGCATTCTCAAGACCAGTTAATGTTAAGTCTTCCGATTCATTAATAAGAACAATCTTTTGGCATTGGATTTCTTGATTGTGGAGAGCTGTGAAATCAATATGGGTGCTGTCCTCAACATCATTTTCATAGCTCTCTGCGGTCGAGCCTGCGCAATAGGTTAGAAGACGTTTTCGATCTTGGATTACTGTCACTATCAGAGTGAGTTTGGCAACTAGCTTCCGCTGGGACAACATTAACCCAATAAGATCTACCCTAGTTGGGTTCAAACAACAGACATTAACTGTGAGATTGCGATTTGGATTCGAAGCAGCACAATCGATTGTTTCTTGTAGTTCGGTCAACTCAGGATATAAGCCAACCGACTTCAGGGGGCGGATTAGTGCTGAATCATAATACTCTATTCTAAGCTCCAGCTCCTTACACTTTAGCATGTTGATGACTTGAGATATCACTTTTAATTTGTCTTTACACTTCTCTGAATACTCTAGGTTATAAACAAACACGGCCTTAGTGGATATGAAAACAGTAATATCATTCAAAACTGTGCGTAGTTTTTCTAGGTCGCTGTCATTAGATATCGTGAATTTTAACTTTGGCCCAGGCCACGTCACCATATACTTATCAATGTTTTCGGTGGGGCTAGTTGGACTTAAAGCTACAGTCGAGTCCGAGGCCACCGCCGTTACTTCTTCAGTCATGTGCCTCTTAACATAGACGAGACACTTCTTAGGATGAACCGAAAATCCAATTGCAGTTAGATCTTTAGTCACCTTAGGTGAGTTTACCCAACCCACCGGAGCAATTGTTTCCTGCCCAGCAAAGTCACTATCACCACTCTCACCGCTACTCGTATCATCACTACTCTCATCACTACTCCAGCATCTCACACTACCTAACACTAACACTAAAGAACACAACACAATCACGATTCTATATCTAATCGTCCGACCGCGATAAATCCTATTTCTATTCACACCTTTAACTATTTCAAGATAAGACATACCATTCAAAACCAAAGTAAATTTATCTAAATGAAAACTGATCTCTCAAAAGAGTAGATAAGAAAATGGATTAATTACTTGGGGCCCTTGCTTTGTTGCTAATGCCATAAATGAACATGAATGATTCTTGTTAGACTGAATCAAGGAGAATAAACAAGAGTCTGTTAAGTTTAGGTTAATATCGTGCTATTGAGTGGTAGCCCGCCGTTTTCAACCAATACTAACTTCAACCAAAACATAATCAGACCGGACGCTCGTAGGATCTATTGAACAAAGTATCAAAGTGTTAGGTATGACGTGTACAACACCTAAGATTCCGTGCCATAGCATCAAATTAGTATCTTCTTAATCCAAATAGATCCTGTATTTATAGTTTGGACTTGTACTCTACCAACCTCTAACCCAATACTAACCCAATGGAATTGCTGATGAAGACTAAAGATATGTTGACTTATGCTTATCCCCTTGAAACAGACTCCGATGCGGCTGTTGTAACATCAAGGATCCGTGTTCACTAGCAAAGAATGGTGGTGGATACTCTGAGCACCACAACTAACTATACTATATCTCTATTTATTGGCTTACAGACTTACCGCGGCCATTTACTTAGCTTACGATGAAAACCCACAGACCCATAGATCTACCATTCGCAGTAATTCTCCCGTATTTACCATAGCGACCTTCTCACTTTCACGCTTAATATTTCCTAATGCCTGCATAATTCGCTTCCTTTTAGACACATCCATCTGCCAGGCCAGTTTCTTCATTCTTTCCACAATTGGCCGGGCCCGTCTCGCCTTCTCCAGGGCCTGGGCATACACCAACCGCCCAAACAGATAGCAAATTCCTTTTGAAACCAGTCTTGGACCCATATCGTACTCAACTACTCCTCCGGTCTCACGGTTGCACAGTAACATCTCCGGGACCTTCCTAATCTTCTCACTCGGCATGACATTAGTTCTAACTACTTGCCGCCGTGCAATTAAAAACATCATATCCTCTATCTTTCCCAGTACACTCAATAAATTGCCATACAATACTTCTCGGTTCTTCTCCTTCGTCTCTTTATCCTCCACTAAACCGTCATTGTAATTACTCAGCACCATATAGTTGTACAACGTATCTTCACTATTCTCATCGGCCAAAACAGTAATCCCCTGGGAGAAGTGCTTAATGTTGTACAAATGCGTATGCAGTATAAAGTGCAACAGGCCAAAGACCACCCATCCATCAAAAATCACTCCAGCCAAAGCCATTCCTAAACCCAAAATACTACCATCACCACTTCTAGCCAGCAGCCAAGCACCAAGTACCGGACCAGCACTAACCAGCCCAACTTGCCAAATACTCGTTCGTCGAACCAAGTACCGCAACAATCCCATCTTTACTCCCCCACCATCACCACTCTTCTCGCCTTCCAGGACATCTCGTCCCCATAAACACTCATACACCACTACCAGCCAAATACTCAAACCAGACAGCAAAGCCATTCCAGCACTCACTCGGCCACCAGATACGGCCTTCTGCACCGGCAGCCACAAAGCAATCACAGCCCCCAGTCCAATCACCATCTTCTCCCCAGAAATCCGACCTCGACTCCACTTCCGCACCAGCATCCAGTGCATTACACTCAGCACAGTTATGACAGCTAAATCAGCTAAGTTTACATCCGCCACCAAAGATACCGGAGAATTCATAAGACCCAGCAAAACCCAGCCAAGTCCCTGGCTCTTCCAATGCACTAATACTGCACCCACATATCCCATTCCCAAAGTCGTCATTAAACCCGCCAAGCCACTCTTCTTACGTACACATTCATTAGATCCAGACATGCCCGAAAAAATGGAAATGCACAAGTGTGTTCATTGCCAAACATCAATCTCTACCCTAACTGAACCCTCGCTTGCTAACTCTAAAACCACCCGATCGTCCCTTTGCATGGCCTGCAAACAAGTCGCTGATCCTTACATCTTCAACCAACTCAAATTCCTACAAGACCTACTACTTTTCAAACCAGAAGCTTTCCGCCACTTGGTTTTCAATACTTCTTCCCCCACTCCCACCACTCTCTTCCTCATTCGCCTTGCCGTCCAACTCATCAATACTTTCACTCTCCTCACTCAATCCCAACTCCTACTCCCCCATACCAACCCAATTGTTCTGAGCCCCGATTCTCCAACTCAATTCCCGCCCTCGTCCTTCTCCCCCCAATCTAACTCCACTCTTCTCCTTAATCACCCCCAAATTTACGCCCACTTTCTAATTCAAACAACCGAACCCATCTTCCTATTCTTACTTTTTGCCAAAGTCTCTACACTACGCCGCATCACTAAGATTGTTATTTTAATCTCTACTTTTTGTTTTCTCAAACTACCTATCTTTATTTCTCTTTCTACCTATCTATTTTACGCCCAAATGATCAATCTTATCGTATCTCTAATGACAGCCAAAGCCCTATCCATTCTCCTGAATACTCCCTACTATAATCTCCTCCTAGCCATCCTGTTCCATCGTTGTTTGGCTAATCTACTTTTGAGTAACGAGTTTCAGATATAGCCAGCCGCAAAATTTATTTCATGAATTCCACTCTCCTAGTCAATGCTTCGGCTATCGTGCTTTTTATCTTTACTCTCGCCTTCTCTTACTCTTATACCTTCATCAAGTCAACTCTTAAAGTCTATGATTACGTCAAATGTTTAACTGGCGGTTTTATTATTGGTATTATTCTAGTTGAAGTCTTACCAGATATCTATTCTTCTGATAGTATGGTCCCAGCCGTAGTTACCGGTATCTCTTTCTTCTTCCTTTTTACCATCAGTAAGCTTTACATTGAAAGAGCTAATGTCGGCGAACAAGATTCTATCCCAGCTGGTGCTTCTAAGAAAGAAGCACTTATCTTTATCTTGGCCTTAAGTTTACACTCTTTCATGGAGGGTCTCGGTATATCTAACAAAGAGAACGAAAAACTCGTCTGGTACTTAGTCAGTATTCTTATCCATAAATGGCTAGAAGCTATTGTTCTAGGCGCCTCAGTCCTTACTTCCGATCTCTCCCCTAAAGTATGTTTCGTACTCCTATTGGTCTATTCCTCACTTACTTCCGTCGGTGCTTTACTTGGCAAGCAATTATCCAGTGGTTCCAGTAATTCCCTCATTCGTCATACTCTTGATGGTATTGCTGCCGGTAGTTTCTTCTACATTGGTTTTGTCGAAATGGTCGGTAACGAGTTTGAAACTTCATCTGGAAAACTTACTAGAGCACGTACGTTCAAAAAAACACTATCTATGTTTATTGGTTACTTCATTATCACTACTGTGATTTGTTTGAGCCATACTCTCGAAGAATTATATCATAAATAGGCCTTGGGAAATTTAGCAAATTTTCGATGCAAGCAAGTGAGTTTATTATGCCGATAGCGGTTTTTCTTTGTTCTTTCATTCCTAGTTTAACTCCTACTATGCTCCTTTCGTCCCCCAAGCTGCGGAAGCTTTATAACAAAGCTAGTATTATTTCAGCCGGTTTATTATTTGCTATTCTCTTTATGGATTTCATTCCCCATATGGTTAAAGGGGGTCATTCTTGTTGTGATGGGAGTCCTAACTTAGGTTTAGCTGGTTCTTTAGAGGCGAATGCAAGTGAGGTTAAGGCTCACCAACAGGCAGGATGTACTTCTGGGTGTACGCATACTCATCATGTTAAAACTGAATCAAGTAGTACGCCTGGTCAGTTAGCGGGTAGTAATAGTCATAATCACTCTCATTCTCATGATCATTCTCATTCTCATGATCATAATGATAAACATGCTCATGAAACGACTTTCTTTGGTCATCATGTTCATGCGGTGAAGAATTCCCAGTTGGGCTTAGCTATTGCTGGTTTGGTTTTTATTGGATTGATTGTGATTGATCAAAAGATCATTAAGCATAAACATTGTGATAAAGAAGATACAGAGGTAGTAGTTCAAGGTAGTGGGAATAGAGGAGGTAGTGGTAGTGGTAGTAGTATTTCTGGGCATAGTCATGGTCATGGTCATGGTCATAGTCATGCCGTGGGTAAAGGGAATGATGCTGATATTAACTTGTGTTGTACTGAAGGTCTTAAGTATAAGACAACGGCTAAACAGGCACTAGTCTTTATCTTTGTCTTTTCAGTGCACTCTATCTTTGAAGGCATGGCATTTAGTCCTACTTCTGAGAAGAATACTAAGATTCTGTTTATGGGTTTACTGATGCATAAGGTTTTGGAATCTATTACGGTAGGTGTAGCTCTCTTTTCTTCTACGTTTTCGATTAAGGCCAGTACTGGTTTATTATTGTTTTACTCATCTTTAACGCCATTAGGTATGATTTTAGCTATGACTATTACGGGAGTATTACAAAGTCCGTGGGTTCATGATGCCTTTATGGGGATGGCCTTTGGCAGTTTGAGTTTTATTGTTTTGGTTGAGATGTTACCTCCTATTATTCATTCTTTAGTTGATGTTAAGAAGATTCTTTATCTATTAGGTGGGTATTTTATTGGAGCGGTTATGATTGTTTACGGCCATGGCAGTTGTTGCTAAGTTAAGTTAAGTTATGATTGAGTTGGTTTGTGATTGAGTTGGTTTGTGATTGAGTTGTGGTGGGGTTGGGTTATATTAAGATAGCAACGGAATCCCACTTAGAATAGAGTATTATTAGCTGCTAAAGCACTCCCTATTGTAGCACCTCAACTTATTACTTAGTTACCTGCCCAACCTCACCTCACCTCAATCTTATCTCAACTCAATCTTAACTTAACATAACATTTGGCTAAATACTCATTCTTATCTTTTGCTTTAGAGATGGCATCAGTAATAACAAAATAGTTGCTGAGATAGGGAGTACGGTGGTATCTGGCTTGGGGAAGACTCTTTTGCCTACTGTGACTGTCGTAGATGCGATATAAGACCCAAAGATGGGGAATAAAGGATAGGGGTGTTTTATTTTTATGCTTGATAGAGAGAAGTTCTCTTGTTTGACTCGTAGTGCTGATGTTCGTTTATTGGTTCAAATAATTCAAAAACGAGGTGAATCTCTTTGCTTACTTCAAGGTCATATTTCGATTGCGATTAGTATGGCATACCGTTTAGTGCTTAATTTGTATGGGAGGAGGCGGTTAGGTCGGTTTGAGAGTATTAGTTGTTTGGTAGTTGGGTTGCTGAATCTGAGTGGAAAGATAGGAGGGTTGCGGCAGGCAATGGGTAAGTTAGTGGCTCAGTCTTTGTACCAGAAAAGGTATCTTGAGAGTACGGCTTGTATCAAAACAATTAGAATAGATGGAGTTGAAGTTGTTTTATTTAGTGAGGCTGAGTTGACTATGTATCGTGAGAGTGTGCCTAGTGTCCTGTTGCAAACGGAAGTAGTGATTAGTACTTTGTTAGATTTTGATTTTGCCTTTATTGATGTCCATGCTGGGTTTGGCCCAAGATTGCAAGCTAGTGATTTACCGGCTAGTACTAAAAAGACGGCATGGGTGCTTTTATCTGATATGGTCTTTTGTGGTTTGGGTACTTTGTTTACTGCTGAAGTACTTATGACTGGAGCTGAGTATATAGCTATTAACTTGCATAATTATGGGAGTAAGACTAAAGACTGGCTGCCCAATCATACTCCATCGGGTTTAGTGCTTGAACTAGAATCTGAATTGATGTATGTATATAGGAATAATTGGCTGGCTTCAGTTGGGTTCAACCGGCACAAATAAGACAATTTGGATCGGCGGCTAAAGCATGGTAGTGTAGTACTGGAGATGTATCTCCAATATAGAGAATAAAGTTAGTATTTAAATTCGGATTGGTTAGTGGTTGGACTGGTTTGGCCTTTAGCTTATCAAGTAGGACAAGTATAACAAGACTAGCACAGATTGAGTTTACTGGAGGTGTATTGGGCTGAATCATAGTAGAGATTTCTTCTACTTGTTTGGCAGTAAGTTGATCAACTGGTTGCTCGGCATAGGTAGAGTTGTACCGTTCGGCTACTTTATGGTAGAGTACTTCAGCTATCTTCTGATCACTAGGTACTGTTCTATGTGCCTGACCAAGACTGTTACTTTCTTTGGCCAGTAAAGTCATTATTGTTCCGGTCACTCGTTCACTAGTCATCTGTTCTGGTGGTGGAACTGAACTCCGTACGGAACAAAGGTTCTTAAGTCGTTTCTCAGGTGGGAAGAGCCAATTCAAGCAGTAGATACATGGTGAAGGCCGCTGAGTAAAGAAACAATGGGCTTTAAACCTTTCTGTTCCACAATCAATATACAATCGCTGTGAATTAGTACATTCCATCACTATATAGTAGTAGAAGTTCACCCGGGCTTGAAAAGTATCTAATGCGGCAATGTATACATCATACTCAGCCAAACGGCCAACTGTCTGACTAGCTAAATTGACATCTTGACAGTAAGTTCTAATTTCACCACTAAATCCATCCCTTTGCAACTTTCTACGCATTGCCTCTGTCTTCCACATACCAACTTCATCTTCACCATAAGACTGATGGGCCAAATTACACCATTCCACTCGATCCATATCCACTAATCCCAGCTCACTAATCGCCAATTCTGAGCACTCCACTAACCGATGCACAACCGCCGACCCCAATCCTCCTAAACCAGCCACACAGACGCGCATACCAATACAAATTTCGCAAAACCACACTATCTCAATATCACATTGACTCAACTTGACTCAACTCTAACATAACACAAACTCAACTCAATACCACTATCATATCAATTAACACCCAACTTAACTCAACTCAACTCAACCCAACTCAACTCAACTCAACTTAACACAACACAACATAACACAAACACAAACACAAACTCAAACCCAAACCCAACCCAACTTAACATAACCCAAACTCAACTCAACTCAACATAAACTCAAATTAACCATATCTTTACTTCAATTAATTCCTCTGTCCAATAGATAAACACTCCAACTAGCTGGAAGCCTTAACTACGGCAAAGGTTTTGTACCTAATTAGACCAACATAAGGAAAGTAACTTGCTCTTAAGTGAAACTCGCCCTTATTAAGTGGGCGTGAAGTATCAGCTGTTTTGACAATAATACCTTTCTGAAGATGACTAATCCCGTTTTTCTTTATCAATGTGTCCCAAACGGTTTTTTCACTAATCTTATCTCCTCGTTGGGTTCGATGGACCAAATAGACATAAACTTCCTTAACATTATGATTCAAAGTACTTTCTAGGTTGATATTAGGCGTAAATACCATTGAGCCAGACTTAGCCTTTTGAATAGAAGGCGAACAAGGCAAATCACCACGATTCATCAGTAAAGACCCAATAAGTAAGACAAGACATAAAACACCCAAATAAGAAGAGAAGATTGAAAGAACTTTCCCCAATCGTTTGCTTGACGTATTCATGACAAAAATAAAAAGGATCTCTATGTACTACTCCAATCTCTTCTTATCTCCCCATCTCAATACTAACCCAAGACTCGTCTAGGCTTAAATACCTCATTTATTACTTGCCAGTTGATCCAAAGCCACCAGCTGCTCGTTCAGTTGCACTAAGCGATTCAACTATTTGGGGCATAGCTTGGAAAACAGGAATGATAAGTATTTGGGCAATTCGGTCATGCACTGCATACTCAAAAGGCTGAGATCCAGTGTTCAAAAGCATCACAAAAAGTTCACCACGATAATCCGAATCAATTACACCTCCTAAAGTTATTACACCATGTTTAGAACAAAGTCCTGAGCGACTACTAATTTGACCATAGTACCCAGTTGGGATTTTCATGGCTATCCCAATACTAATAAGTTTCCTTTCCCCGGGATTAATACATCCAGTTTCAGCTGAATACAAGTCATATCCAGCACTTTCTGGAGTAGCTCGTTTAGGACATCGGCCCTTATCATTTAACAACTGAATATTGAAACTAACTGGTTCTAGAGTAGTCATTCGAAAATAAAATTGGCCTGGAATGTATTGATATTGTATTAGGTTGAGTGGGGTTAGTGTTGAGTTGGTATTGAGTAGGGTTGGTTTAGTATTAGGTTGGTATTGAGTGGGGTTGAGTTTAGTTTGGGATGGTTTAAGTTAGGCTAAGTTGGTTTATGTAGTGCTGCCATACGACCACTACCAAATACCAACATAATGCCACCACAATACCAATACGATCAACTTGATTACTAGTAAACTACTCACTACTTAGTACACACTACATACTACTTACTAATACCAATACCACTACTAACACTAACTTAATATGACGTCATCTTATTTTAACTCACCCGTATTTACTTAATAAATGGTGCCCACACTTATCCCAAGTTATCTCAAGTACTATCTTTAATAGAGTATGTATTAGTTAAGTATTAGGTTAGGATTGAGTTGGTATTGAGTGGAGTATAGTTAAGAAAAGATAGATAATAACCCGTACTAGGTCGTAAATAGTAAGTAGTAGTCATTAAATGAAACGGTTTATTGGGTGGAATTGGTTTTTGGTGGAATGTCATTTTGAAAGGGAACGTGCTTAGATAATGCCAAGTCTTTCTTTGATAGTGATTACGGCTTGCCAGTCGCGTTGTGAAAGGGCATCCTTGAAATTGTCCTTGAGCAGATCAATAGACTCTCGAGTAAGTCGACTGATGATTTCGTCGGTTTCAAAGATCTTTTTCCCAAAGACAATTGGATTAGCTGTAGCTGGTAGTTCTATCTTGATTGAAGCTCGTGAATCGGGTTTGATCTTATCTGTTTTGGGGTCGGTTTTTTTATCTTCCAGAATACTGGTGACTTTACCTATGAAAACAGGTCCTTCTTCTCGTAGAACACTAAGTGGAGTACCAAGTCTGAGAATTCCTTCTAGGACTTTAACTCCTAGCACTAATGGTGATCGCTTGGTAAAAACACATCCAGGCACAATAGAAAGAATGCACGGGAAAACAACTTTATCTTTAAGTTGTTCTTCAGCTGAAGCCCAGAAGTCTTCCATATGTTTCTTGTACCGTTCAGTTAAATGATAGATAATCTCAGCCGTGATAATTTTGACACCAAAATCTTTAGCTAAAGATAGTGTTTCAGCCGTAGGATGAATGTCAAAACAAAGCATAGTAGCAAATTCCGGCCTTCTTTCTAAGATAGTAGCTACTTTCATGATATCTTTTTTTGCAATACTACCTACACCTACACTTCTAATCGGAATTTGCTGATCTTTCAAAATAGAGATAAGTGCTTCTAGTGCTCCTAAAGTTGAAGCTTGGGCATGAATACCATCTTCACCTACCGCATCAAAAATACTACCCGTACTAGATGAACTGCCAGAAACAAGATTTTTAATCGTATTTCTTATCTGTTCTTCAGCTTCAGCTTTAACTTGAGCTACTTGGTCCTTAGGTACGGCATAAACTTTACTCCCAGCTAAAGCTCCTTCTAGTTTAGGAGCTACAATTCTAACTCCAATAGCTGCTTTAACTTGCTTATTCTCCTGGTACTTAGACTTAACTCGCGTCTCCTTCATGGGATGGGGAGTAAGTAGTTTGCGAATAGTTGTATCAACTGCTCCATTTTGCGTACAAACTACAATACTATCTCCTTCTGAAAGAACTCCACTTGATAAGATAACATCGATAGAAGGTGCTTTACCCTCTTCTGATCTTGATTCCAGCACCATACACTCAACTTGTTCCGCGAACTTCACTCGTTTAAGCATACGTGTTTCCACTAAATTCACCAGTAAAGATAACAAATCGCCAATTCCTTCTCCAGTTATAGCTGAAGTAGGTACAATTGAAATATAAGATTTAGGATCAGGGTTTTTTAAGAAGATAGCCGTATTAAGACCTTCCGCGGCTAATTCCAAAACAATCTTTTCAAATCGATCTTTAAATTCACTTTGGGCGGCTTTGGTTTGCTTTTTGATTGAAAAACCAGTATTACTTGATTTCCAGCCATTAATCCTATCTATTTTGTTTAAAGCAATAATAAATGGAGTCTTTCTGGACCTTAAAATCTCAATACTCTCTTTAGTCTGTAATTCCAGACCGTGCATAATATCAACTACTAGAACAACAATATTGCACATAGAAGACCCGCGATTTCTTAGGTTGGAAAAAGCTTCATGGCCTGGTGTATCTATAACTAAGAGACCTGGAATGTGTTGGGCTGTTATACGGTACTTCTTCTCTAACTCTTGCATGGGAATGTAAGTAGCTCCAATCTGTTGAGTAATTCCTCCGGCTTCGGCTAGTTGGACTTCAGTTTCTCTGATTCGATCAAGTATTTTGGTTTTACCCGTATCGGCATGGCCTAGAATACAACAAATTGGACTACGATAATCGGACTCTTTCTTCTCTTCTTTCTTAAGAGAGTAGTGTTGGGTGGGTTTCTTAGCTGGTCGGGCCATAGTTAATCTGGCTAGTTTATTGGCCAGTTGATCTTCTGGGGTGGGTGATTGACTTTCAGCTGGAACTTTATCTGAACTTAGATCTTCGATTTGTTCTTCTTCTTCTATCTCTTCTGGATTGTTTTGATATTCAGTATACATACTGTACATCTCTTCATAGCTAGTATCCTTTCCTTTCTTTTTGGCCATATTAGGCAAATTTTGCTTGGTTGTATATAATTGGAGTGATTAGATAGTGAATTTAGTTGATATCTGTTTTGGTTTGAGGTATTTTTGCTTGGTTTTTGTTTTGATAGGACAAGATTTAGTCTAGGTGGTATTAGGCCCTGGTTAAGGCAAAATCTAAAAGGAAAGACAGAAAGTTTTGAAATTGAAGATGTTCTATTTAGATTTAGATTAGATTTAGATTAAGTTGGGTTGAGTTGAGTTGAGTTGAGTTGAGTTGAGTTGGTATTGGATTTGGATAATAAATTGAGTAAGTTAAATAGATATGAAGTTAGTAGATATGAAGTTAGATAATAAATTGAGTAAGTTAGTAGATAGGAACTAATTCACAATGTCTTTATTGAGTTAGAGATCAGATGATAAGAGATCATCAATAGAAGGAATGACTGGGTTAGTAGTTGGGGTAGGAAGCTTTTGCTTGGAATTAGTAGTGATTGGGTTGGGGTGGGTTGGCTTGGTAGAGGTTAGTATTGGGTTGGTAGGAATTGGGTTTGTATTGGTAGGAATTGGGTTTGTATTGGTAGGAATGTTAGATGTTGGGTTGGTGTTAGTGTTAGTGTTAGTAGTGGGTGTGGTATGGTTGGTGGTGGTATGGTTGGGTGTGGTATGAGGAGTAATAGGAATAATGGGTTTGGGTTTGGGTTTAGGGATGATATTAGGAGTTGGTGTGGTGGTTGATTTGGGGGAAGTAGAGATAGTAGAGATAGTAGAACTAGACGGAGTAGATAGGGGGCGGTTGGGTCTAATTAAGTTATTCTCATCTAGGGCGGTTTGTGGATTGGGCTTGATTTTCTTGATGGCAGATGCATAGTGCTTATCATAGCAGCAGCTGCCTAGAGCTGTTCCAAATTGTCTGAGGGCTCGTTTAAGACTATCAGTGATCGCCGACTTGTGGGCTTGTTTGAAGGCTTTGCCTTTGCCTTTGATTCTCTCGGCGGATCCAACTCCCATATCTTCACGGTACGTTCCATCTTTAAGTATAACTCGGGCAATCGCACTAACTGTAACTGTGTATCGCTCATCGGGATATTCTTCGATAGCTAGTACATCTATCTTTTTAATCTCTGAAGACCATCCATCGAATCCAAAGATTCTGTTAGCCACTTGAATAATGGCCCAGCCCTCAACATAGGCCTCTTCAGTATACCCAGTATTTCGGAACTTGATGTACTCGGGACCAAGAAACTTATTCAATTGTTGCTGACGTTCAGAGGAGGTCATTAAAAAAATGGCTGGAATCAGTGAGTATATAGAGAAAGAGATGTCTATTCAGTGGTAATATCAGTATTTAGATGTATAATAAACCAACCAACTTAATTGTACTTGCTGGTGCGTTGTGATTAGCTGATCAGATAATATAACTTTATTGAACCATCCCAATTTAGGTCTTAGGGATGGACTAAGAGACACTTAGACTCGTACTAAGCGCAGAGACTTCTGGATAGATCTCTTGAACAAGATAAATACTTTGATAAGTTAGCATAACTCGGAATATTTCTTCAGCTAAGTCGGGGGAGAGTTCAGCTGCTTTTTGGAAAAGACTGAACCCATCAGGATTACCTTTAGCAATAGTAGCTTGGGCCTTCTGGAGGAGTAGTGAGCCATTATAAGGATCCATATTAATAGCCTTTTCTAGACACTTATTGGCCTCTTCAGTATTGTTAAGGGTAGTATGTCCTATATAGAGGAAGAACAAAGCCCGCGGTGAATTAGCGAAGCGTTTAAGAGAAAGACGATCAATGACTTCTTGGAGTAGAGTTGGGACATTACTTGATTCAATTTGGGAATACAATTCAATAGCAGCACAAAGAGCATTAATATCATCTGGGAAGGCACGAAGGGCTTTTTGAATGGTTTTGATGGCTTCTTGATGCTCGCCTAGAGAGAATTGTGACTTGGCGTTAGCAATAAAGGGTAGAACTATTTCACCTTCATTTTCTAGTTCAAGGATATTAACCAAGTACTGGCCCATATTATCACTAGTCAAGTAAATCTGGGCCAAATACATACGCACAATAGGATCGTCTTTCTTTTTCATAAAGGATGCTAGTTGGGTTTCTTGCATATCAACTGGAATGTTTTTGAATTTTTGAATATAGATAGAAAGAACATCACCGTAAATTGTATCTGAACTTTTCAAAAACTTAATTGCTTCTTCAGGTCTATCTTGAATAAACCGAATATTACCGATCACAAACCTACTTCGTTTGGTCAGTCGTTGAGTAGCTAATGATTTTTCTAAAGACTTGATAAGTTCAGTATAGGTCTTTCCATCAATATAGGTAAGTAACTGTATATCTTCTGCTGATGCTTCACCAAAGGCGGGATCGCGCAAGGTTTCTTTGAAAATCAGTAGAATCTCTTCGAGTTTCACAAAGGGAACAACAAGAGTATCGGTTTTGCTGGATATTAAAGCAGCTTGTTCTTTAGCTAGCTGAGCTATTTTAACATCCAGAAGATTGTGCCATTCATTCAAGTATTGCGTACAACTGGAATTAGTTGGAATGGAATTAGTTGGGCTGGAGTTAGTTGGGCTAGAATTAGTTGGAGTGGAGTTAGTATTGGTAGGTGTTGCTTGCTTATTCAGATCATGTTTTTTGATAATAAGGTAGGCAGTGATGACAGCTAGGCCTTTAAGCCCGCCGTATCCTTTATCTAGCTTTTCAAGTTTAGCCAAACGATTGAAGGTATTCATGTGCAATGGATTGAGCTTAAGAGTTTGTTCGGCATAGGTCAAAACCTCTTGATAGTTCTTCATGGCTAAGTGGGTTTGCGAAATATTGTTACAGAGTTTGGCTGCTAGATCTGGTTGTAATTCAATTGGACCTAATAAAGATAAGGCATGAGTGTACTGTTTAAGTGCTTCTTCGTAGTTCTGAGCTAAGTAATAAGCAGTCCCATCTTCCTTGATTTCCAACGGGGATTTGGTTTTATACTTAATATACTTATAAGTTGCGTATCCAACTGCTATCGCCGTGGTAAGATAAGCCAGCCAGAAGGGGGTTTTCTTACTCTCCATAAAATTTGCCGAGTTAGATTGCTTATGTATTGAATTGAGTTAGTTTAGTATAGTATTAGCATTAGTTTGGGTTGGTATTGAGTTGGTTTAGTGTAGTATTAGTGTTGGGTTAGTTTGGTATTGAGTTGGGTTAGTGTAATATTGAATTAGTATTGGTATTAGTATCAGTATCAGTGTAGTATCAGTATTAGTATTGAATTGGTTTAGTGTAATATTGAATTAGTGTAGTATTAGTGTAGTATTGAATTGTTATTTGGTTTATATATAGTGCCTGCTTTATTGTGTTGTATATGTTGAGTTGTTATTGTGCTGGTTAGTATTGGGTTAGTACTAGATTGATTGCAATTGATAATAAATTGATATAAACATAGTATTAACTGAATACAAGAGGCCTAATCTACTAGCCAGAATTGCCTTTGATGCGCTTGACGATTTCGTCGAATTCTGATGGATGAATTCGGTATAAAGGATTGTGGCCGGGGTCGTTCATGGTGGGGCCATAGAGATACCAGAAAATGGCTCCCATAATCACAAGTAAGATAATAATACTGATACTAATGCACACAAACTTATAAGAGAGTTGCTGTCTTCGAAGTTTCTTCTTATCTATTTCGTTCTTTTTATCTTCAATCAGTTCTTCTCTGGTGATATGGAAACCATCTATCCAGCCAATTAACTGGTTCCACCAGTCTCTTACAATAGACATTCTGGGCGATAGTTTCATTTGATCTGGAAGTACTTGGGTTTGGATAGAGCTTGTATTTGATGCTTTCATGGTAAGAGCTTGCTTGGAATTTAGCTCTGGATTAGCAGATGCAGCTGATATAGTGATGGAATGAGTGAATAAAGCAACTAGGACAATAGATATAATAGTTAAGTAATTCAGTCTTACCATTTCTCTGAAAAAATTTCGATTGATTACTGATCAAATCTAGCCGAATTTTGGGTTTTGATAGTGCTGAGTTGTGTTGAATTGGGCTAGTATTAGGCCGGGTTATTGGATTAGTATTCGGTTGGTGGTAGATTAAGTTGTATTTATATTGGTTTTATTGTTGGCTAGGGGTTATTTTGGCATTTTATTTGGTTTGGGTTAAGTTGGATTTAATTTGCACGTTTTTCCTTTTATGGTAATTTACAACAATCTGGCCCGATAAGGAAAATTGCTTACATAATTCCATTTGTAGAGCTAAATGGTTTAGGATGGATTAGTGCTAATGCAGTTAGGGTTTGTGAAAGACTTCATTCCAACTGTACCGGAAACTGTCAAAGAGAGAGACGGCGAATGGTTTGGTGACTGGAGTAGATGAGGTTGTGGTGGCAGGAGTAGATGGAATTGTGGTGGCCGGAGTAGATGGGATTGTGGTGGCTGGAGTAGATGGGATTGTGGTGGCTGGAGTAGATGAGGTTGCGGTGCTGGGTTCAGTTAGCCAGTCAATAATTTTAGTGAGATAGGTGGCGAAGTTATCTTCGGCGATGTCCTTGGGTGCTGGGCCGGTAGGGATGACTGGCTGTGCAGGAGGCTCTATATGGGCAAAGCCTTCAAGGGCGCTTATTGAGTGGTGATAAGCCAGTATGGCCGTGAAAGTGACAATTCCGCCTATCACAACCGCAAGGGCGGCATAGCGCATGGTTTTGTTTAGTTTAATAAGAGACTCTTCTTCTGGATTGGTTCTATACTCCCAGTTGTGAGCTACTCGACTTTCAAGTAACACGCCGGCCAAGAGGCAAATGGCAGATAAGCAAATGATGTTAGCGGCACAGACAACTTGAATAACACTTGCAAATGGAATAAGAAGCACGCACAGATTGGCAATAACCAAAAGTAATCCAGCTGCGCCGTAAAAGCCACAAGATATCTGGCGGACTAAACGGATATGATCTTGGCGATGTCGATTGCTAACTAACGAAAAAATCAAGCTGAAGACCAGGGCTAGTATCTCTAGAACGAACACAACGATAAACGACCAGCGCATTGCAGTATAATAAGAAGCTGCTGTATTGGCGGTAAGCACCACGAAGTGGGCATGAATGCATATGGCTACCAAAACAGACATAACAACCGCAATAAAGACTTTGTTAAGTAAGTGATGGTTTCTATATCTACTGTACATAAAGCTAATCCGGAGACAGGCCAGCAATATAATAGCCACCGGAATAATCAATGGCATCATCTTCGGTATAACCAGTAAGGATAATACCAATAAGAATGCAACAAACCCATATACAGCGGTTAGGGCTTGCTTGAATAAGCTAAAACTACCTCGATAAGTATCTTGAGTTGGGTAATTCGGGTCTTTAAGTGGTGCTGTAGATGTATCTCTTTGTATCGACCAGTTGCCAAGCACATCGCGAAAGGTCGTGAGATGCTTCGTTAGCTCGTCCTCAAGCCCATCAAGATTCTGCTCGCCTCCATTAACTGCGTATAGAGTAAGCACTATTTGCCGTTGCGGAGCATAAACATGGAGAAGAATCAAGAGCTTTGTGAGGTAGCGGTAGCATGCCTCGTTCTTAAGTAGAGCTTCAATTCGAACTTCAATCTTATTGGTGTTATATAAACCGACTATATCACTGTTTGTTAGTTTCCAAGGATTATTGTAGAGAGAGATTGAAGTACTTTTGAAAAGGCGAACACTGCACATCGGGCCTACCGGTGCTGGTTCAGCGGCAGCGGCCTGGGGATCTGTTGGTGGTGCGGGTGGAGGTAGATTGGCATCAGGAGCAGTAGGTGCTGCGGCGCCTAAGAGAAAAGCATCTATATTCTCAAGTGCAAAATCAAAATTAGTCTCGCCCGTATCATGTAATAAAAAGGAATGCTGCAGTGGATGCCATTTAGTAATAAGCGAAGTTATAAGACCATCCTCAGGAGTAGTCCGGCAGCACATTTCGGCGTATTTAAGCACAGCATCAATCACGTCGTGGGAGAATAGAGCGGACTTTTCTCCAAAGATATCTTGGGCCCCTGGGTCGCGCGATTGGTTAGCAATAAGATCTACTAATTCTGCTCGTGTGGCTGGAGCGCTACGCTCTATCTCAAAAAGCTGTTGAAAGCCCTTCTCTATCTCAGTGACCATCTTAATATTACAACCCAGTTCGGTGTCGGCATCGGCTGGGAGGCGAGCCCAATTGCGTCCAAAAAGATCTTTAAGATACTTGTTCCAATTATTATGGGCTTTGTTGGCCTTTTGGGAACTGCCGAGGTCGGTCGGCACACTGTTCTTGCCGCCGCTAAACAAGATAGCATGCAAACATGCAAGATCAAAGAAAGCCTTGGCACTCGCAACTTTCAGAGTTTCAGTGGCTACTTTTCCAGCATAGATAGCGGTCAGATGCTTAAGATACTTTTCTGTGTCGGGTCTAGCTTCGTTATTATGTGCAAGTAAACAAACAATAAACCCATCGCTGGGCGTTGCATCTGTCTCGTCGTTGGATATAGCATCTTTAATAAACACGGCGTGTTGGTCCTCCAGTTGGTACATTAAAACATCGGCAAAGAGCATATTCGCACGTTGGACTAGACGTTCTTCACTAATGGATCGTCGTTGATACTCATTTCTGAGCTCAGTTAGAAACGGATTGACTCTTTGGGCCCAGGGCACCTCTAGCTGGAGTAGCAGGGGCATTGTGCAATGGACATACCCGTTAGGCCGATAAAGAAGAATCAGACATATCGCATAAAACAATATACAGCATCTTTTAAGACTGTTCATTAAACGTCAATTCATAATAGATAAATAGTTATCAGAGTGGCCTTAAAAGGAAACTTATAACATGCATTTATTGGTATTTATCAGTTGCGATATTAAGTGGTTATTTCAAGCCCGGCTTTTCATTAGTAGCTTAAAGTAAGTTAGTATTGGTTGCTTTGGTTAATTAGCAAGCAGCCAGAGAGTTCTGGCTAATAACAGCTGGCCAGTAGTCTGGGCGTTGGTTGGTAGAAGACAAATAGTCCTGGCTGGTTAATAAACGCACTCCCTGCCAACTAGGCTAAATATCATAAATACTAACCCGTTCTGCCCGTGGTACCATTTGATTGTCTCGTTCTATGCGATAGAAGTACTCGGTGCACTCGGTCCTGAGAAGTTCACTAACAAACTCTTCATCGTGTGTAATCACTAGTAGCTGGAAAGTTCCTTCGGCCTTTCGGGCTTGGATGATTGAGGAAAGAGCATTGGCCAATGCATGAATATTAGCTTTGTCAAGATTAGTGGTTGGTTCATCAAGTGAAAGAAGCCCGCAATTAGTGCTGAAAGCTTCTGCTAGAGCTAGTCGAACAACAATAGAAGCAAGCATTTTCTGACCAGCACTAACTCGACCGCGCATCTCGACCTCAATTCCGTCCTTCTCCATAACCAAAGCATAGTTCTTGTCCATCTGCGAAACAATTTTGATGCTATCTATATCTCCACCCGTGTACGTCATTGTCCATATTTCTTTAATGATAGCATTGACTTCAGCAAGTTTATCGGCATGGTAGCGCACAATGGCAGCTTGAAGTCCTTTTACATACTTCTCAATATCAGCAATGCTTTCATTGACTACCTTAATAGTAATAAAAGCGGATAGTTCTTGCTCTTCAATTTTATCATATTCAAGCAACTCCTTTTGATCTTCTTGGTGTTGTTTTTGTAGATTAGTCAACTCGCCGATGCATTCTGAAAGAACCTTTTGTTTCTCCTCTATCTCGCGCTCAGTATAATTGAGAGCTGTTTCCTGTGTATCTAGATGGGCGGGCGTAACTGGGCATTGGGCAATTTGTTCTTTAAGGTACTGGGCACGAATAGAGTTATCAATGAGGCTTTTTTGTTCGATCGCGCGCTGGACTTCAAGAGTGCGTTGTTTGATTTGGTTCTGTTTTGCAAGGATGGAGTTGTTCTGGTCTTGAAGTTCGGCCTCACGGATTTGGTCGTCCGTGGTGTAAGTGATTAAAGCTAGCTTTCTTTCGCGGTCTTCGGTATCAGCTATTTTGTCTTTGATTAGGAGAAGAGTGGACATGCCCTGTCGGGAGAGGTAAAGAGACTTAAGTTCTTTCTGGCGGCGGTTTAAGGCCATCTCTTTTTCTTTGAGGTCTTGGAGTTCAGAGGTCTTTTGAGTTTTGCTAAGACCAAGTTCTTCTTGTTTAGCAATTAGATCTATCTTTTCCTTTTTAAGTAAATGTACGTCATCAGTTAGTTTGCGCCGCTTTTGAATAGTTTCTTCGATTTGCCTGATTCGCTTGCGGGCATTGTCCTGTTTGGTAAGGTACTCCTGGTGGCGCTGGTTTTCTTTAGCTTCGAAGTGCTCGATTTCCTGGAGGCGTTGCAGACACTGGCGGTGCTCCTCAGCAAGAGCTTGTGGGTCGGTGCTATGAAGGATAATAGAGCTGGCAACGCCCTGTAAATGACCTATTTCTTGGTCTAGTTTTTGAACTTGAATGATTGAGTCGAGTTTAGCCTGTAATCGAGTTAGTAAAGCTGTCCATTCCGCCACTGGCTCTGGCTTAGTAGGACTAATACCAACCGAGCGATTGGACAAGCCAATAGTTGAGATTGCATTGATTAAAGTTTTGATTATGACTTGTTGGCGGTCTGTTTCAGCTGATTGCCTGACTAAATCTAGTTTCTTAGTTAGATCTTCCTTTCTTTGGGTAACCTGTTCCAGATTCGTACTGATCTTCTGTAAATGACCTTTAGCAATCCCAGTGTTAAGAAAGGCCTTACAAAAGGGACACGAATTAGTAGCACGTTCTAAGAACTCAGAGTAAAGCTTTGCAGTGGCTTCTAAACCGCCCAGACACTTAGCTGTTTCTTCAAGTGTGCTACTATAACCCGTACACAGCTGAACTTCTTTTTGGTCTTTGATGCGTTGTAAGACTTCGCTCTTAGAAATAGGACCAGTTGATGTTTCCATAGTAGAAGTAAGATGTCCAAGCAACTCTTCTATCTTTTGAAGCTTTTGGTTTTGAATCAAAGTTGAAGCAAGCTCTTGTGCCTCTTTCTGAGCAGCTGCTTGAGCCTGTTCCTTTTGAGCAGTCTGAGCTCGGTCTATTTTGACCTTCAGTTGCTGAACTTCCGCTTGAGTTGTGGTTTTGATTTGAGCTAGAGACTCAGCACTAGATTGAACGGGTAAACCCCCAAGACAGAGTAGGTGTTCTTTTTCCTTTGCTTTCTTGGATATCTCCGCCATAAGCATTTCCTTCTCTTTCCTTTTCTCTGACTCCTGCACAATATTAGCCGTTTCCTCTTGTAATCTAGCCATTTGGGCCAATAAGGTCTTTTTGTTATACTCTTTCCGCTCGTAAGCTGTACTTAGAATAGTCTGTTGCACTTCAATCTCTTGGTAAAAGGCTTCAGTAGAACTAGCACTATCTTGAACAAGTAAGGCATCTATTTCAGCCAGTCGTCTTTGAATAGTTGCTTGCTTTTCTTGCAGGACTCCCATCTGTCCAGTCTTATCCCTTAAAGTTTGGATAATTCGATCATGTTGTCCTTCCAACTCATCCTCGGCCCGTTTAAGCAATGCATCCCTCAACTTACTTTGTTCTTCAATCAGACCTAAGAGCTCAGAGTATGTTTGAGCTGAATGTAAATCTATCTCTGGCCATTCTTTTATCTCTTCACTACTTAAATCCTTACCTATACAATCTTTAAGTATATCATTGATCTCTAGCCAACTACTTTGTAACCGCTCCATTTCCTTTTTAGCCTCCTGCTTACCCTCAACCTGTAGCTGTTTAACTACTTCTTTCAGTCGCTCGGCCTCTTCTCTTGCTTGATTTACTCGATGTTTAATACTTTCCTGTTCGGCTAGACCCTTAAGAATACTTTCTCTTTCCTGGACTAGTTTAGCATTGGCCATGGTTAAGTCTTCTATACATTCAGCCATCTCTTCTGCCTGGGCCATTTCTTTAAGTTGACTAATCGGTAAGTCCAAAAGTTGTTTACTGGATAGACCAACTAACTCGGCTTCCGCACATTCCTTATCTCTTAAACGTACTTGAATCTCTTCTTTTTGTTGACGTAATTCGTTCTGTTCTAGCTTTAAGGTCTGCAGCCGGTTTTGGAAAGTAGTTGATTCGGCCATAACCCAATCAATTCTTTGAGTAGTCCTGGCAATACGTAAATCCAGCCGTTTCTTAGCCTGTTTCTTCTGTAATAACATTTCATGACGACAAATCAGTAGTTTTAAATCGGCACTCTTCTCTTTCTTGAGAGCAGCTAAAGCTTCAACTGCCTTCTGAAACTGTGCAGAAGCAAATATACCATCCATTCTCTTCTTTACCAATGCTGGATCTCCTAAAGGCCAAGTAGACTCTTCTTGATGACAAAAGATCACATTATCTAGAACTGCCGCTGAAGTACCCAAAAGCATAGGAACTTCACTATCTAGTCCAGATAATTTATTACAAAGTAATCGCTTCTCTCCCCCTTCAACCGCCCATAGTGCACTTTCTAGAGTCTTTGTTTCCTTACGCTGTCGTCCAACCTTCTGCCACAGTCCACGCACTAGAATATATTCTCGACCATCACAACCCACAAATTTCATCATAACTTGGGCCTTTGTCTCACTTTCTCTTGACAGTTGAGCATCATGTACAAATGCGCCACTCTTACTATTTGGAGGCAATCCGCCGGTAGTAGCATACTTAAGAGCCTCGATAATAGTTGTTTTGCCTGTGCCATTTCGACCTACCACTAAAGTAAGTGGCGAAAACACTTCAATAACTGCCGGATGCTCTTCAGGAAAGGCCCGAACCCCTTTTATCTTCAGTTTCTGGATACCCGACATAAAAACTTAAATTTCAACTAGATATCTTAAATAGCCAATCAATCGATTGTTTTTACCATCTTAACTGCCCAAAATCACACCTTGCATTCTATCAACCGATTCAAATAATTAATCCTTATCTCACCAAATCCGGCCATCTTAACCACTCCTCTTTATTTACTGCAAGTATCACCAGTTACTCTTAGAATTAAACTTCAATCTCAACCAAGTACTCATTTAAGTATTCAAGTAGTCACATAGTCATCTACTCATATCAATATTCAATCTAATTTACTCAATCAAATACTAACCCAATACTAACTCATACTAATTGTTGTAATGAGTTAACATATTGGTTAGCCCGAAAACAGTCCCTGCGACACTAACTCAATACTAACCCAAGATCTTATTTGACCTTGGGGTTTAGGGATTACAAGGTACATGTGATATAATGAAGTAAAGGCTGGATTCGTATTGTATTTAGAGGTTGTAGGTATAGACGCTTTTTGAGTTAGCGAATACTTCTAGCTCAAAGTATGCAACCCAGTAAGAACTTAAGTCGACGGCTAAGTTACCACAATTAGATTTATTGAGTTCGGATTGAGTTAGGAGAGGTGGTGTTGAGTTCGGATGGTATTAGGATGGTACTAGGATGGTGCTAGGCTTATGGAAGTTTGAGATGTATGAAATAAACCTTGTCGTGTTTGAATGAGTTATTAGAGTAGAGTAGGATATCAGGAATATAATAACCCAAGTAGATGAGTAAAACGGGTTCAGAAAAGACCATCTATAGATCCGGGATGATAGAAGGATTGAGTGCTCATTAAGGTCTGAGAGTAGAAGTAGGTAGTGGAGTAGCGGATGCATATTCTATACACTCGTGAATACTGGTGGCCGTCTTGTTATTTGTTAAGTATGGTTTAAGCTTAGTTTGCAGTTGTTTTGTCTTCTCCGCGAGAGTTTGAAAGTGCTCTAGTAGAATCCTCAGATCTGAAGCCCATAGTTTAATCCGTTCGACCGGGACGTCCATATATGCTTCTGGTAGGGAAGGATCGCAAAAACGACGGGCTTCACTAAGCCGATCCCAAAGCTCAGCCCTCTTTAAAAGCCATGTATAAGAGGTCTCTACTGCGAAAATATTATCACCCTTCTTAGCTATCTTCGCGATTACTTCGTCTGTTGGCATGGTTTTTATCATATCAACAATATCTAATTTTGAAGTAGAATTGACAATGTCCTGTGTTTGACTGTCGACAGCAATATTGGCATAGGCGCCTACTGTTGTATTAGGAACGTTTAAAAGGTTGGCACCCAGTAGCCGCAGTTTTAGCATGCTATACAAGAAGTGTCTGAGCTGCTGCTGAGCACAAAAAGTCGAGCTGGGCAGCGTTGTGTTGTCGACAATTGTCTTCCAAGATTCAACCATTGCTTTGATATTACTTGGAATCTGCACCCAAAGTCTGAGTGGATTATACACAATCGCTATATTGTAATAATCCAAAAGAAACCCATCTGTAACTATTATGATCTTATCCTCAATATCCTCCTCATTTGATGTTCTAAGCAAAGAAGCAAGAGTGACTCCCGGGACACCCTCAGTTACACCTTCTAGTTTTGCAATATAATCATGAATAACCCGATGGCGATATTCAAGTTCTTTTATAACATTAACCAAGGCATAAGATAAAGAATCTTTCTCAATGTCAGAAGAACAAGCTTTAACGCCAGGATTATCAATTGGTTGGCAATTATCTAGCATTGCAAATAGTTGGGTTAAGTCGGAATCATTTGCTAAACCGACTTTCAGTGCGCTTTCCCAGAACTCTAGATACATTGTAAGTGTTTTAGCATCATTGGATGTCGCATTGGCAATTCCATAATATGAATGCAAACAGTTTGGATTGGCATTGTACTCAATCACATCATTAAAAAGCATTGGCATGTCATGATTTTTGATACAATGATTCCTCCAGTCCTCTATCGATGTTGTATTTTCACGAACAAGCAGATTGCGACCCCATAATACTAGCCCAGTCAGTCCGGCACTTATCACTCCACAAAACAAATTCATATCTTTCTTGTCTTCCTATCCTAATATACTCCTAAGTTTATCAACTTTGATCGGCAGGTGTCATCTTAATTTTAATATCATATTAACTCAAATACTAACCCAAATATTAATCCAGAGACATTCATCGCATTCTCTTTCAAGCACACATAACCCCTTAGATACACAACTCGTGTTTAGTACAATAAGCTGTACTAAGTTGCAGTAAGCTAGATTATAGTTGAGTTATATTTTGGAATCTAATTTAGAAATAAAGCTTGTGTCTTAGTATTCGGCTAATCTTTGATTGGTATATATAGTATCCAATACGAAGTCCATCTTAACTAATGCATACTCTATTAAAGACATACCTCGATATGACAAAGTCGGCCATTTATTGAATATAGACGATGATATGACGTCATCCTAACCCAATACCAACCCAATACAGATACTACTGGTTAGTATTTGATATGCTATGACGTCATACTCTACCAACCCAATACTAATACCAACCCAACTTAATACTAATGCGATCAGTCCATAAGTAAACGATTTGGTATGAGGAAGGAGTAGTGGTTGTGTAACGACATTACAATCTAGTATTTTCTTTGAGAGTCTGAATAGTTATGGAAAGTCAAAACTACTCTTAACCCAATACCAACCATAACCTAACTCACCCCAACTAAACCCAACCTAACTCAATCAAATATCATATGAAAATAAACCAAATCAAATCATTCATTTAATCTACCGCCATCATCCAGCCCCACTAACACCTCCCAACTCCATCCATCTTAACTCCACCCACTACTAACTCAATTCATACCATTTTATTGATATACTTGAAAGTATGGGTGCATCATAATAGATTTAGCCGAAGGTCTTTCCATCGGATTATAAACCAACAAGTCATTAACTAGTGACTGACACTCCTTATCTGGTAAGTCAACTCCAGCTACTTCCCATAAAGGAAATTCCGGCTGAAAGTTCTTCAAGGCCGTCACTCCCTCCCATCTTTGCTCATTAGGAGTTCCTAGTACTTGAAAGATCTTGTACAACTGATCTATCTCGGAATCACCAGGAAACAATGGCTTCAACAGAACAAACTCAGCAATAATACAGCCCAAAGACCAAACATCTACTGAAGTGGCATAATGTTTAGCTCCTAAAAGTATTTCCGGCGGTCGGTACCATAAAGTAACTACTTCACAAGTCAAAGTATGCAAAGGCACTCCTACTAATCTACCCAACCCAAAATCAGCTAACTTTATCTTATCTCCCGTAATCAAAATATTCTGAGGCTTCAAATCCCGATGCAAGATCCCAATTGAATGACAGTACTGCAAAGCCGAAACTAACTGGTAGGCAAAATCTCGTACTTGTTCCCGACCTAAACTCCGTCTCTCCTTCCGTAAGTAGTCCAAGTACTTCTTCAAATCAATCTCCGCATACTCAAAGACTAAATACAACTTGTTCTCCGTATATATCACTTCGTATAATGCAATAATATGCGGGTGTTTCAAGTTCTTCAGTAAAGATATCTCTCTTATCGTAGTAGCTGGCACTCCCTCCCTATCATCACTCAACCGCACTTTCTTTAAAGCCACAATCCGACCTGAACTCTTCTCCCGCGCCTTGTAAACTACCCCATAAGTCCCCTCCCCTATTTTCTCTATCTTCTGGAATGTCTCAGACATGGGCTATCTAAAACCACCCAAACAAAAAGAACGCTTCCAGCTGGACTCGAACCAGCGGCCTTTCGGTTAACAGCCGAACGCGATAACCAACTACGCCATGGAAGCACACTACCCCTCCAACCCTCCCTACCACAACCCTTCCCAAACCATAAATACTACTCATGCAGCGATTACGTCATCAGCTATCTCTTTCTTTTTTTTACCCCTAGTTATGTCCAAAGCCCAGTATAAGAAAAGTCTTAAACTATCTCTAAATGAACTTAAGACTCCTAAAGGAAGAACTCCAGAAGATAGAATGAAATCAATCAAAGTGAAATTACCCCAAGATATCATTAAATGTGCCGCTAAGACTGAAAAGGCTATGAAAGCCATGGAGAAGCACAATACGATTATCTTTGTCTGTGATCTTAAGGCTACTAAGCCAGAGATTAAGGAGGCCATTCAAAAGCTCTACTCTGTAAAGCCAAAGAAGGTTAACACTGCTATTACCTTTAAGGGGGAGAAAAGGGCCTATGCTATCTTTGGTGCCGAGCACAGTGCTATTGAGATTGCTTCAGCTGCCGATATTCTTTAATAAACTGGGTTATTATTGGTTTTAGATATGATTTTGATTTTGATTTTGAGTAAGTCTTTTGATTTTGATTTAGATAAGCTAGTAAGTTTAGTAAGTCTTTTGATTTTGATTAAATTGAGTGAGTTGAGATAAGCTAGTAAGTTGAGTAAGTCTTTTGATTTAGATTAAATTGAGTAAGTTTAGATTAAGTTTAGATAAGATTTAGATAAGCTAGTAAGTTGAGTAAGTTTAGATAAGATTTAGATAAGCTAGTTAGTTGATTTAGATAGGCTTATTTGATGTAATAAATAGTGAAGTACTTAGTTTATTGGGTAGTGGGTTAAGGTGTAGTGGTTACTTGGTGGTCGGCAAGTACGGTGGTGATGTTCTGGGAAAGCTCGTTGGCGCAGTAGTTGACCAGGTCCTCTTGGGTGATGGCGGCCGTGAGTTGGACTAGTTGATCGGTATAGTTGATGCTGAAGTGGTGGAAACGCCAGAAGTTAAGGCGTTGGTTGAAGTACTCCTGGGGATTGCTGGCTTTGTGTTGGTAGAGGTTGATTAGTGAGTGCTGGATGGTGGAGAATTGGGAAGGGGTGAGTTGTTGGATGGTAGAGGATATACTAGCAATAAATTCGATGACGGCGGTTTTGATTGTTTCATAGGGGTAGGTGGTTTGTACTAGCCAGTTGATTTGAGCTTGGGAGAAGAAGGGAGTAGATGCCATCTGCACTATGTAGCCGTAGGACTTTTTGGTCCGGAGTTCATCAAAGAACTTAGTGGAGAGGGCTTGGGAGATTAAGTCGGCGATAATGAGGTTTTTAATGGGAGTGAACTGAGTTACTTCATGGGAAACCAGGAGGGCGATGTTGGTTTGGTCTTGGACGGATACATTGACGTGGGTTAGGAAAGGTGGGGTTAAGATGAACTTCTTTTCGGGATTGGGTATGATTTGGGTTTTGATTAGCTGGCAAATGCGGGTGAATTCTGATTGCGTAAGATTGCCGATAGTATAAAGCTTAATGTCGGCTTCAGTGAGGGAGAAGAAGGTCTGAATAGTTAGGTTTTGGGCGGCTTGAAGGCATGCATCATCATCTAAGTACTTGTAGTAGTTTTTGGCTTTGGCTAGGCCTAGGATAGCTTTACTAGCGGGAATTGTTTGTTTCTGGGCATCGTACTTGGCAAGGGCGGCATTGATGGTTTGAGTAAGTAGTTCTTCTTTCTGGGTACTGAATTCTTGGAAGAAGATAGTAATGAGATCTTCCAGTACAAGTGGGTTACCACTGAATGAGACTGAAACTGCTCCTGATCCTTCCACAATATAATCAAGAGATACGCCTGAGGTTTGCATTTCCTCTTTATGAGTAAGTAGGAAGTTGTTCAAGAAGGCGACTGCATATCCTGAGAAAGAAACGAAAGTATTGATGGTCTGATAGATATCATTACATCCTAAACAGAGAATAAGGTAGACGTCTTTAGAATGAATATCTTGTTTGTGGATTAAGTGGGCTTCGAATCCATCTTCGGTAATGGCAAAGTGTTCAAACTCTTTGTCGGCAGGAATGACGTACTCTTTGATATTCTTGAAAGATGATCCAAGGGGATAGGCAATGTTTTGGTTGCGGGCGGTAGTGAAGTCTATTTCTTCTTTTGTATCGGTACTAATCCAGGCCAGTTTGGTTTGGAGTGCATCAATATCGGCATCGGTTGTTTTAGAGACATCGGTAAGGAAGTACTTGACTTCAAAATGAGGATCGGATAGGAGAGGGGTTTCCGGGAAGAGATCGTTAGTTTCAACCATAACTAGCCAGTTAGACCGATTGGTCATAATACTAAGTATGTAATCAAAATCTTCTTTGTTAAAACTAACCCAATCATAATCACCAGTGAAAATGTCTTTGAGTTGGCGGTAGCATAAGTTAGTGGCTACCTGTAAGGTAGTTGTTAACTGGTCACTTGGAGCAATACGCTGCTTTTTCTTTTCCATGAGGTTAGCGTGTTTCTGGTAGAGATTATCAGTGGCATGGTCTTTGATCATGTTAAGGTAAGTTTCGATTAAGTTTAAGAGACTGGCAATCTTCTCGGGAGTAGCATCAACTAAAGTATAATGAACAATAAAATGAGTCAGATCTCTTTCCATTTGGGCAAATATAGTATTGGAAGATATGATGTTGTTTTTCAAAAGAATGGCATTGAGACCTTCAGAACTGCCATTCTCTAACATTTTGATCAAAAAGTTCAGAGTTTGTTCCTGGTATGCAAATCGTAGGGCTGGTAAAAAGACATGGATAGTAAGTTGAGTATTAGACTTCTCCTCTTTGTACGGCCGGTAGTAGACAATCTTGTTTTTAGTCTCCTCGGTGCCAATATCATAGGACTTATCAGCACGGTCTCGTTTAGTGGCAGGTTCAATATGAGTAGGCTCACCTGAAAACTCCCACTTAGCGTCTTTGTAGGCCTTGACGTCACTAAAGAACTCAGTAGCATACCCTTTCAACTCCTCCAGACTCTCCTTGCCGAAAATGACCAGAGTCATATTCTGGGGAGTATAATGGTACTTCCAGAAGCTCATTAAATCAGCTCGAGTTGTCTTAGCTAGAGTCTTTTCTGAACCAATATTGAACTTGGACATAGGATGGGTCTTTTTGATGAAATTACTCATTAGAATAATGCGGCGGCTGGCATTATTGGGAAGATTCATTTTCATCTCACTATCAACGGCCTTCTTTTCTCGTTCTAAGGCATTCTCACTAATCTGTGGATCAATGAAGAATCGACTGAGAATAGAGAGGGCTTCTTTGCCATGCTGAACTGGAAGAAGATGGAAATAGTTGGTTTCAAAAAGAGCGGTGTATGCATTACGGACACCACCATTACTGGCAATGAAGTTGGCGTAGTAGTCTTCTTCTGGGTACTTGTCACTACCCATAAAGAGCATGTGCTCTAGAAGATGGGCTAAACCGGGATGTTCAGTAGGATCATTGGCTGAGCCGGCGCCTACTGAGAGAGTTGCAGCTGCCATGGTTGCAGTTGGGTTACTAATTAGTACTACTCGCATGCCATTGGGAAGTTTCATCTCTTCATAAAGGTTCTGGTCTTTATCTCCACAAAGTTGTGTACAGAAGTCCTGTTGTCCCATTCGAGATTTAAAATATCGGAATCCTAATTTAGCTAATCTAGTTGTCAGAAATGTATCTAAGAAGACCGATAGATTTTTGATAACTCGATGGTTCTTGGAGGGTCTGAGTTTAGTTGGCATTAAATTGATATTGAGAAATAATTCATAAGTTTAAGCGTCGAAATTCCTAAAAGAGTATTTCCTAATGTGGTAATTTCCCAAACGGGTAATTCTAAAAAAGTATGAAAGATCATAAGATTATATTTATGTAATGTTGCACGCCAGTTTTGCAACTCGCCGAACTTGAAATTTCAAAACTGGTTGCAGAAAGCGAAGCTCGTCACTTCCAGGCCCGAAATTGTGGATTCCGAGGCTGGTGAAACAGAATACAATAAAGATGCTTTATTTGAAAATCTAACAACTACTAGTTTAAAATATACACGGACATACTATACTAACTCGAGTTCGCACTATTTTGCGAATGTTTTGAAAGTGGCTATCAACCCAATAGAGATAGATACCTTCAGGTCTTTCGCTCTCTTCCTTTCTTATCTGAAAGTGCTTTAAAGTAATAAACTCTCCTTTTATTGTTTAATTCTTATCGGTTATCAGACTCTATGATATAAACAGATCTAGTATAATCGTTGACAAGAAGCCTTTATTCGTCCTGCTATTGGGTTAGCAATATGTTGTTCGGATCGATATTTAGCAGTAATTCATCTTGATCAGTGCCTAACAATAATCAATACTAAACACGTACACCTCTTTACTCAAGTGTATTTGCCAGCCTCTGTAGTATAGTTCCTGACTCCGGCAAGTAAAAGCTAGTACCAGATTGCCGTCTATTCTTAGTATTGTTATCATAACCCCATACCAATCCAAATACTAACCCAATAGAGAACTCTTTTACCTTTATACGAACCCAATTACTACCTCAGCTCATCCTATTCAAGTACTTCTGTCGGTGGCTGGTGTCTATCCGCTCCTCTATAGGAGCTATCTTCAACTGGATAAGCACTATGTCTGGGTACTCTACCGGTGTGTTCCATTATAACCTGTTATTCAGGACCATAGGCATGTTTGCCCTCCTTTACAGTCGATACTATTGGAGAACAGATAGATATAAAGGTTTGGCATATACTCCTGGTAAATATTGAGTTATTTGTGTGGTCTCTGCTACAGCCAGTGTTGTTCTTAACATATCCAACCCAACCACTAACCCAATACCAATCCAATCGTGTTATCATACGACCACTACTAACCCAACCCAAAGATCTACCTGATGTTTTGCCAGCTAATTACGCCCTGCAACTTTAATAGAGTCAATCTGATTCAACCAATTTAGTTTTACATATCTACCCTACAATTCAATATGACGTCATCCTCACACACAACCATATTTATTTAACAAATCACATCGATACTCGTCTCAATAAATGTCTTTAATAGAGTCGGTGTTGGCCAATGAACCCTATCCAACTCATGGTCATAGAAATACTAAAATGTCTTCGGGCACCTCTAATGAAGTGCATAAGATCATGTCATCCTCATCAAAAGAATTGGATTTAAGGTATTCAGTAAGGCCTATAACATAAACCTTTAGGCAACTGCTAGACGGTTGGTCTTGGTCTGGAAAGTTAGTATCAATATCTAGGCATTCACAAGTTGGGAGATCTTTGCCTTTCGCGGTCCTGGCTCTTAAACTAACAATAAGGTCCTTTTGGTAGTCTAATTCTAATCTGAGGATGAATTTGTCTATCCAGTTGACATCGTTAAGAAAGTCTATCTTAGTCATATTGGGGTAGACTAGACTTATAAGTTTGATTGAGAAATGTGTTGCTAGTGGCCAAATGAATTTCTGCACATTTGATGT